CAAATGCCAACTCACACACAATATGTACATTAGATTGAAGAAAGCAGTTGCACAACATAGCTGGCTTGTCCTGTTATGTTTCCATTTTTGATTGTGGACCGACACTATTATCATCACTCCTCTTTTTAATCTTTTTCACTGTCTATAGAGTAATTACTGACAAAGTGGTCAACGGACAGCTTGTAAAAAACAAAAAATTATATACTGATTCCCAAAGTTCTTTCACCAATCATTTTACTCTCTCTCCTCACATGCTTTCCTTCTCTGTCTTGTGTCATGACCACGTGCCACGTGCATTCATATTTGTTGTCACTCTTAAAGTGTTGTGAGAAAGAAATGAAAAAAAAAAAACATTGATTTGATATTCGCAGGTACTCTCCATACTCGTCTGATTACTCTCCATTCCCTACGGTCCGTAACTTTTTTTTTACTTTCTCTCTGACATAAGAGATAGTTGTATAACGAATCGAAGAATCTTTTCTTCTGTCTTTATCGAATATGGCTTATAATAGATTATCTACTTAACTAGTCGTTCATGACCATATGATATATAACCTTAATTAGTCTAATATGATCGATGTGTTATATATAGAGCTTGTACGGGGTGTACGGGTGCAATTCATCAGGTGGACAATATGGAGTCTATGGAAACGGTGGAGGCGGTGGACTAACCGCAGCAGCCGCTCCTTTTTATCCTTGCGGTGGTGGTGGTAGTAGCAATGGCGGTGCGGTTCACTTCTCTCAACCACAACCATTTTATCATCAATTCTCTTCTTATACCAACCCTCACCATTACTCTCCTCCCACCATTTCTCTTCAACAAGGTTCGTCTTCTCCAATATCGAAAATGAGATGTGATCTCGAGTAATATATATTAAGGACATGAGTCACTCCATTCATACCAAAGCCAAAAAGAGATACATAATTACAGTTATAAATTAATGTTGTTGGGATTATGATATTTTACTAATTTATTAACTAATCGAAGTACTATGTGATTGATAAA